TATATATATATATATATATATATATATATATGAATTAAAAACAATTCCAGTAATTAAAAAGAAAAAAATAGATATGAATCTTATATACATAGTAAATTGAGTACTAAATAAAATTTATAAAAATAATTAAAGTAAAAGGGAGATGGAAATCGAATACCTATATAAAAAAATACGAGCAATAAGTTACACAAATATATTTATCATTTTGTATTATAAAAGAGTTACATCAATATTAAAGTTTTATCAACTTTGTTATAGTGTTGTGTGTTTAAGAATAACATATTTTTATAATTATTTTTTTTAAAAAAATTGATATTATGAACTAAAAAAAAATATATCCAACACGACAGCATTAAAATCAATTAAAATTTTTGAAAGTTTTTCTTCCATGAATATTTAAAACTTATATAACAGTTCGAGATTACGCACATACACACGACGGAGGAGAAGTTTGCTATTCAACCTCAAAATGTAGATGGGCCCCCGGTCGATGGTAGATGGGCCCGCAGTTGGTTGACTGATGCTTCATTGCTTACCGTAGGCAAATGGTCCCTCATTTTCACGGGCAACGATAACATGTCAAAAACTGGGCTCCACTAATATGTAATCCATTTGTTTGTCCTCTCCGCAAATGGATCCAGCTGAAAATGCCCGACAGAAATATGGATCAATTTCAGACTATCTTGATAATTAACATAGTAGTCCAAAGTACCCGTTTAAATTGATTATTTAAAAAAATATTGAAAGTGCAAGTTACAAATATTACTATTTCTTTTGGAGCGAGAGAGGGGAAAGTTACCTTAGAGATATAATTATTTTTTAATGGTATCGGATTTAGATTTATCTCGACCTAAAAAAGAATTTAATAATCAATTAAATGTTAAAAATGCATTATAACACTCGGTTATTCAAAAATAATAAACTTGGTATCGATTAATATAAAAACTGATTTAAAGATATCCTATTAATTGTATATATCAAAAAAGACAAAGAAAAAAGAAACTTAGCTAGGAGGCATGCGATCTAGTGCTTCCCATACATGCAAAATGGGTAAGATAACATAAAATTGAAAAAGAAAATTACTATTGTTACTATTATTAACAATTAGAACAACAAAATCTCTATAATTTCTTAGAAAATTAATATAATTTCCATCTTAAATTATTCATCTTAAGAGTTAGACATATGTAATGACACAACTAAGAATGATTGGTTCTTTTAACCAAATTAAATTTTAGGCATGCAAAATGAATTGACAAGGTAGTTGTTATTTCTAAAGCGAGAATCACCTCTCAAATCTCTAATAGCTATAACTAGTTAGACACCTGCGCTATGTTATGGTAAGATAACCATTATATACATAGGGTTAACAATTTATATGGTATGATGCGAGTAAATATTTTGTTTATGAGGATTATTGTAAATCGAATTTATATATTTAGTAAACTTGTTTGATTTATATATATTTATTAAAAAAATAATTTATAACATTAGTATAAAAATTTATATTTGAATAATTAAGAGGTTCTTTCAAAACATTAATTAAATTATTTTATTTAAAAATACAGATTTTAGAATATGAAAAAAATAAATAACAAATAATTAGTATTATATGTGCATATATAATTAATTTCTAACAAAACTATATATATATATATATCGTACTAAACAGATTTAGAGCATATAAAATAAATAAATAAAATATATAAAAAAACCACCTAAATCAAATGGAATGCATTGAAGTAAATAAATTTAAATAAAAACTACTATGAAACTGATTTCGATAAATTCCGATTATATATATATAAAATCACAAAAAACCCGTAAATTTTTTTAACTAATTATTATTTTTTAAAAAAATTGAGCTGAATGTTTTGTAATTGATTATTATTTAGAAAAAAATTAAGTCAAATTATCTAAAACACACTTTTAGCTCTCTCTTTCCCTTTCCCTCATCGAATTTATATACACGACAAAACTATATATATATATATATCGTACTTAGAAGACTCGAGTATATAAAATAAATAAAAAATATATAAAAATTCACTTAAATTGCATGGAATATATCGAAGTGAATAGATTTAAATAAAAACTACTATAAATTTGGTTTCGATAAATTTTAATTTTTTTTTATATATATATCGTACTTAGAAGACTCGTAGTATATAATATAACTAAAAAATATATAAAAATTTACTTAAATTACATGAAATATATCGAAATGAATAGATTTAAATAAAAACTATTATAAATTTGGTTTCAATAAATTTTGATTATATATATATATATATATATATATATATATATATATATATATATATATATATATATACAACCAAATAAAACTTCTGAATTTTTAACTAATTATTAATTTTTTTAAAAAATAAAGTCAAATTATTTAAAACACACTTTCGGCTCTCTCTCTTTCTCTCATCGAATTTATATACACGACAATGTCATTTTCATTGAAAAAATCATAAAAATAACCAATCGTATAAATTATAATAATATATTTTAAAAAATAAAACAATCATGTTTTAAAATTTTATTTCAAAAGCCATATATAAAAAAATAAAATTTATTAACAAATAAAATTATATAAAATTTAAAAATTATTTCGATGAGAAATTTAATAATAAACAAACAATTGAAGAAATAAATTTTAAATAATAAAATAATTAATATAATAAAATATATATGTTCAAACTAAAATTTTAAAAAATATCATATATATTCTATTACTATCAAACCGTACGTAAATAAAAAAACATTTTTTTTAATATTTTCACACCTAATTTCATGATAAAAAAATAAAAATAAATTATTTATACAGGAGGGGAACAATTACCATCCGAGAACATATAGAAACTAAAAAAAAAAAAAAGAATTATACAATGAGGTTCCAATAGTCTAGCCCTTTAAATAAAAAAAAGGAGGCCGGACCTAAAATAAAAATAAAAAAAGCTAGGAATTGCTACAAGTAAATGAACAATGCCACCTCCAGCTTTTTTTATAATAACCTTTTAGATTTTTTTTTTCAATTTGTCATATGGATATCGATTGTAGAAGGGGTTGAAAATTCACAAATTGTTTTCCTAACTCATAATATATTTTAAAATCGATTTGCTTGATATAATTTTTACTACAAAAACAACAAATTTCAAATACTTATCATTATTTATCAGTTTTGTTTCATTTATAATTAATTACTTATGCACTTAATTGTGTTCCCAACATTTACTTTGATTAAATATTCAAATCAAACAAAATAATAATAATAATAAACTCTATCTATCAAAATAAAAATTTTATGCAATTAATAGTAAAATAATTAAATCATTGTGCAATGGGCTTAAAAATATATATGATGACTTGGGGGAAAAAAATTAACTTCAAATATTTATATGCATATGTTGCATTATATAAATTTTTTTAGGAAATCATATCTCAAATTTTTAGTCCATTAATTCAGTATTTCATCAAAAAATGATGTAGAAGAAAATCGTTTTTTTCATTATATATATATAATTCTAAATAATTCTTATTTTGCACATCATGCAAAATACATAATATATTTTAAAGTCTGTATACAAACCATAATTAATTTTAGAGAATATATAAGCATAAATATATTAAAAAAAAAAATTGGAGCCTAGCAGGCTTGCCAGGCTCAGACCCTTTGAAAAAAAGAAGAAGGAAAAAGCTCTAAGGGTGCATTGTATGTAGTAAATTACAAAGGGACTAATTAATTTTTCTCTCAAAGAAAGAGGGACCAAGAAGCAAAAAAAAGAAAAGAACAGGGGAGATGAGTCTTAAGCTACAAGGAAGGGACTAGTTAATTTGCCTCTCAAAGAAAGAGGGATGAAGAAGGAAAAAAAAAAAATGCATGAACAGGGGAGATGAGTCTTGACCCACAAGGAATAAACAGTGCCACTTGCACTTCTTTTAGTTTTTTTTTTTATAATAATAATATAGTGATATAATTAGTCTTTTATAACAAAAAATGAAAAAAATTATAATTATATTCATTGTGAACAATAAGATATAAATTCATTATTTCTATAAATCTTAAAATTTCATGTTTTTTCATCACAATTTGAGAAGAAAACATACTTGATTCATTTAGATTTTTTTTTAGAAGAAACAAAATAGATGAAGAATGATTTCTCTCTTAACATCTTTGAGATTACCTAGAGTTTTTTTCTTTTTCTTTAAGAGGTAGAGAGAAAACCAAAATCCTATTTTTACAAGCATTAACTACAATCTTTCATTAAGATGCGATCATGTATCATTATTGATTAAATAAACTTTAAATATTATCACACTTTGAACAAGTCTTCATTGGCTATACCACAATTTGCAAAAATCCCATTTTAAAATTCTGTGTTTGTATCAAATTCACAAATTATATCTTATGTAAATAATTTGATAAATTCGACCTTTCTTTTGCTTTGCAATTATACAATTTAACCCAACCGTTCTTAATTCTTATTATTTTTTTTAATAAGCATTCAAAACATACTAGCCATATGACACACAATTTTGATTAAAATATCTTCTTTTAATAAAAATTAAAATTATTTAAAAATTTATATGCACGTGATTTTCCTTTAATTCCAAACTCTATATTGTATGTTTTAAGAAAATAGAACGAGAAAAAATGTAGTTTTAATTTAGACTCTTCATCCAATAAATGTATTCTTCCTTGTAAACCTAGTTTTTGAGTGTCCATCAAGAATCGAAAGCCTTCGGATTGAATTGCGTAATTATAACTAACTTAAAGCCGATTTGTCTATTAATTATACAGAATTTATTTACCGATTTGATATAAATATGGGTTTCAAAATAGGTCTTTTCCCCACAATTTCAACCGAACGAGTTGGGCCAGTTCGAGCCTGCGGCCTTCCAAACAAACCCGGCCCTCATAGAACTCCATAGAAAAAGAACAAAACACCAATAAAACCCAGCAGGAAAGAATTCAGAAGCTCTCTTCATCGATGCTCGAAACCTTTTCATCTTCAAAATCTCAAAATTTACCAGTTAAATTCGTTTACAATGGTTGGTACGTATCAAATCTTCTTTCTAAACTCAGCTTCACTCGTTTCTTCGTACTTATTTTCTAAAACAACTGATTTTTTATTTTTGTTTTTGTAAAATTTAGGGACACAACAAGAAAGAGAAGAGAAAGTATCATTAGAACTCACAGAAGAAATTCTTCAAAGCATGGAAACTGGCATGGTTTTTAGAGATTATGTATGTTTCTTTCATTTTTGAAACACCCCATTTCCTAATTCTTTCATTTTTTCAATATTAGTTACTTTTTATTTCATTAATGGTTACAGAATGGAAGAATCAGTTCAATGGATTTTCATAAGACATCAAGTTATTTAGTAACTGCTAGTGACGATGAATCTATTCGACTTTATGATGTTGCTGGGGCCACGTAAGCAGCCTTTCTTTTTGCTGCAAATTTTGTTGATTAAGCTTTCCATATTTGATAACATTTTGGTGGACATTAGTTATGTTAGTGTTATTTTAGTCTGCCTGTCTTTAGAACAGATGGTGGGCAAAGGGAAAATTTTATTTCTTTGTTTAAAATTTTACTGTCTTTGGAAGAAATTTATGTTGTTATAATTCGGAAATTCTATGCGGTAGGTAGTTATGTTAGTGAAGTATGTGGCGTTATGTTGAGAGAGCAAAAGCATTTGTTCCAATTTGGTTTGTCTAATGTTTTCAGGTTGAACTATTGTATGTTGCATATCGTTTTTAGGGAGTATATCATTTTGCTTGCTGGGGCTTGAGATGATGGTGAAGTTGGGTTTAAAATGCTAATCTTCTGTATATTCGATTCTTTGTGAGTGAGAGATTCAAAAACAACAAGAATTTAAAGGGAATTTTACTATCAGCTGCTTGGTTTTAATGCTACTAATGGCAGTTTTGTGACTCTTTTATGTGTTACTGGAACTACTTAAGCTAAAGCATTGCTGAATTTTTATGTTTTGATAGAAGTAACTGATAAAATTACTTAAGGGAAGCTGCATATCATGTTCAAAACCGACCGATATTTTCTTGTCCTTATTTTATAGTTGTTGTTGGGCCTTGTTGTCTTATTGGCGTGAATTATGGAGACAATTTTTCTTAATTTCAGATGTTTGAAGGCAATTAATAGCAAAAAGTATGGGGTTGATCTGGTTTGCTTTACATCTGATCCTACGACTGTTTTATACTCCTCAAAAAATGGATGGGATGGTATGTTTGTAAGAACTGCATTAATATCTTATCCTTTAGAGCATTTATTTATTTTTCAAGGTTAGATCAAGGATTTATGCCTGCTTTATCATGCTGTATTTAAAATCATGTATATGTGTTCATCAATGCAGAGTCTCTGCGGCTTCTCTCGTTGAATGATAACAAGTATTTGCGGTATTTTAGAGGTCATCATGACAGGTATGATTTCCAATATCGATGGAATTTATTTCACTCTCAAGTGATTGCATGTCCTGGACATATCTGTAGCATGAAGTCACATTTCATGTTGTTTTTTCTAAGGGTGGTCTCGCTAAGCTTGTGCTCTCGCAAAGAATGCTTTATCTCCGGTTCTCTCGATCGAACTGTTTTGCTCTGGGATCAACGAGCTGAAAAGTGTCAGGTTGATAACTTGGGATATAAATGCTTTCTTTGAGGGAAAAAAAAACATGTTTTCTCTATTCATCTTGTATTCTGATTTCTTGTCCATGCTGTAGGGTCTTTTACGTGTACAAGGAAGGCCTGCTGCAGCATATGATGATCAAGGGCTAATCTTTGCAATTGCATTTGGAGGATACATAAGAATGTTTGATTCTCGCAAGTATGAGAAGGTTAGCGTTTATGCATGAAAAATGTGTAAAGCAGATTAGCTGTTGCATAAGTAACTTAACAACTATTTAGCAAGGATTTAAGTGCCCAATTCTGTCAGGGTCCTTTTGACATCTTTTCTGTTGGGGGAGATGTATCTGATGCGAATGTCGTAAAGTTCAGCAATGATGGAAGACTTACCCTCTTGACAACTATGGATGGGCATATTCATGTACTTGATTCATTCCGTGGAACACTTGTGAGTTTGCAATTTAGCTTTCGCATAAATTTTCCTTAAATGATGAAGACTTTGGATGATGATTCATGAACATTTCAACGAGTTCCCTGACCTGCTTCCTGTTGTATTAGTTATCAACATACAATGTGAAACCAGTTTCAATCAATTCCACATTAGAGGCATCTTTCAGCCCTGAAGGAAAATTCGTTGTATCAGGTATTGCTTCTGCCACCAGTTCTTTGGGATTGAGGGGACACTAATTTAAATCTTTTTCAGTTAGTTGGTACCTCAGATTTACATACATGGAATGTAGAGTTTTTCAGAGATTCTGTGTGTAAAATTAGCTTTCAATGGGGTTATTCCGGCACATGGGCTGAACCATCAGAAATAGAAAATTTATCTGACATCAAACCTAGAATTCACTTGTTTTATGGGTAAATCTTCCCTGTTATGCTCTGCATTAAACTTTACCATATGGTTCTGATATTTTGACAGGTTCTGGTGATGGCCGAGTCCATGCTTGGAGTGTAAGGAGCGGGAAAGAAGTATGATAACCATCGTTCTCTTACATTTTTTTAATTTGTTCTGTGATTTACATCAGACTCAGTATTCTCTTTTCCTTGTTGTGTAGGTTGCAAGTTGGGTGACATATGAAACTGAGCCACATGTCATAAAATGGGCACCTGGAAGTCTTATGTTTGCTACTGGGTCTTCTGAACTATCATTTTGGATTCCGGACTTGTCTAAATTAGCAGCTTATGTTGGAAGGAAGTAGAATTCTTCAGTATAGCACTTTCAATTTCAACCATTATGCAGTCATGAGGTTCATTGCTTTTCTTTTGATAAAATTACGAGAAAATCTTGAAGCTAGTGCTGGAATTTCCTCCCATCTTTTTCTTTTCCTGAAAACATAGTTCCTCTCCCTGCCTCTCTTGCGTTTTGAATTATTGTTGGGACTATTTATTTATTTTGGGTTTTAGGCAGAGGCAGTCAACTACGCATTGTAGAAATCACCTTTCAACCTTTGGAGCTCCTTATAAGGTTGTAGATGATCAGTTGCTTGTGGGCTGTTACAGTATCAACCTCTTATCACCAAAGGTGTTCCAGAGAAGGCATATTGAAGTTCAGGTACCAAAATGTAACTTTCTACAATACCTTGTAACTTTTGATTGTATAGGCATTACATGATCATGAATTATATCATTGACTAGGCTAATGAAAGTAATAAATTGTATAGTTCTCTTGTCAATGAGAAGTAGAGTTATAGTTTATACTATCTACCAGTGCTTTAACTTCATTTCCTCTGTTTGTTTGTACTTGTGGATCTTTAATCTCAAGGCACTTATTCCTGCTTTCTTGTTGATCAAATCTGCAATATTTTCAAGTAGCTTAGTTGCATGTTATCTTATAGCTACACGACAACCTATATTTGTCTATAACAATGCCTTCTTAAAGGTTTTTTTGTGTCATTGTCCATTTGACTTTTATAAACGCACCAAACAAGTCGACCCAGCAAGGTTAAAGTTTAGCCACACGAGATTGGCAGCAGAATTATATTGTACGCAACTCTTCTCAATCTGTGGCCTGTATCCACTTTGGATGTTATAAGAACCTTCTTCTTCAAGTGCTACCATTCTAAATCAGCTTTAGAACACATTGAAATCAAAGTATCAGGTCTAACGAATAATTTAGTGGTGCTTGAGGTCAGCTAAAAGGCACTTGTTATGCTATAAAGCATTGACATGTAGGACCTGTGAAGCGAACTAAAGTTTTGCTGTCTGTTTGTTGTGGCTTTACAGTCATCGAGATGGTAGAAAGCTGAAGGGACACCATGGAGGAATTAACCTGATCTTTGCATCTCAACTTGCTTTGTCTAGGATTTCTGCACCGTTTTACCAAGTTTAAGAACAATTCCTCACCCTGTCCACAGAGGCAGAGTTTATTTCGACCAAGCAGGACAAGTTTGCTGAGAGTAGTTCTTATCCATGCAAGCAGCATATTGACAGAAAAAGTTGAGATGAAATGCAAATCAGAATTTCCAAATATCTGAAAAAGGGAAAAGGAAAAAGAAGCTTTATCAATGATATATGGGAGTTGGTACTTGGGTCATAGATCTATACAAACTTTTAGAACACTAGGTGCCTGTTACTTCTATTTTAGTATTTGTAACCTAAATTATTGTACCATATATATATATATATATATATTTCGAAAAGATGATAGTCAAGCATATATCATCACCTCTTTCCTATGAAATTCACTATTGTTAAACAGTTAGGTGAAATGAAGAGATGTGGGTGGGACTACCAATGTTTAGCTGCCAAAATCTGTTCGCATCTTTCGTATGATTTTTCAGAATTGAGTCCAACATAGACGCAACAAAATGAAATGAAGTTGAGATGATTGCTCGATGTTGCGGAGCATCTACTCATGAATGAAGTAAATGCAGGGTAATTCACGAATGGCAAGCACATGCAACAGTGGCAAAACTTTGAACCGAAGTATAATTTGTGTTAAAAATGGCAAGGAAACCAGCCAGAAACCGACCATTTGTACAAACTTTCATGAAATTGGCTGAAAGTTGTGATGTATGTCATGCCTCACCTTACTGGTTTGGGGCATTACGTATGAGAAAGTTCAGAAAGCTCTAAAGATCTTCTCGGATCTACAACTATATCTTTTTATATCTATCCACCAGGAATACAAGTATTGTCTAATGTTCCTCATTGGGGCCTCGGTTCTCCTCATCCATCAAAAGTTGAAGGCCATTAATGACATTGGGGTCATCTCGTGCCATAAAGTGGGAAAAATATGTCAAACCTAATAAAGGAATGCATCCATCCAAAATCTTGTCGATGGAGACCTTTTTCAATGATATTCATAAAGTGGCTCTAACAGAGGGAAAGATAGGTAGAAAACGACGATGTCCATCTAAGTGCAATAGATCAACGGTAAGCTGAGATTATTTCAGAGTCGAGAGAGTTTGCTTTGCTAAACTGCACCAGTATTAAAACTAACGAAAAAACTGGTTAGAGTTGGACAGTGTTTGATGTTCTATGTTAATGTTAGACAAAACTGTGGTGGTGTTTACGACGTGGGTTCAAACTTCAAAATATATTCTCTCTTCAACTACAAACATTGCATATGTTATTCACTATTCACTCGAAAATTGTTATAAAACTAGACGGTACATGTACATATATATATTACAGAGGTTAGTCTACAAGGCCACATCGATTTTGTTTGGTTTCTGTTGTCCAAACAGTGACCTTAAAACCTGTAGGAATCTGACACCCAAGTCTACAATACAGCTAGCAGTTCTATCGCAGATTCTCAGCAGCCCAAAACAAAGCTATTTCTCAACAAAATATGCTCTTTTTTTCTTTTTGAACAGCTTCTTCTACGGCTCCTCTACATGAAATATGGCAGATTAGCTTTTGTACACTATAACAGTCTATAGCCGTCCTGGGACAGAACTGTTGTTCTCCCAGAAGTCTTTGTCCCTTTCCTTGCATTTATAAATGCAGAGCTAGCTAGCTGGCTAGGATAGGATTCATGGAAGGGTCGTATGTGGGTCCCACTCCCATATGGAAATCTTGCGAACTATGTACGTGCACTTTTATTTTTTGAGCAATATTTGGTCCCCCAATTATTGACTTCCACTTGCTCTCTGAACTACAAATGGTTCTTACAATTTTTACCACCCATTTCTCCTTCACCGAACAATCAAATCCCCCAGCTCTATTCTACCAAGAACTCAACAGATTTTGCTGTATTATTATTATTATTATAAGAAAATGGCATGAAAACACAACTCTCACATCACCGACATTAAAAGTAGAACAATAAATGTGATTATATATATATATGTATTAAAAATGCGAAAATTTTGACAATTTCTATAATAACTTTATAATTGTCTTCGATCCAACAAATAAAAAGAAAGAAAGAAAGAAAAGTCAGTTTACGAGTTTTTTTTTTAATTACCAAATTTATAAGAAAAGCTCTCGTCCCATAAAAAAAAAAAAAAAAAAAGTGCAACCAAAGCTATAGAAATAAAATGTCAATAGACAAACTTTGGCACCTTTAAATTACAGCATCCATAATCAATAAAAAAAGAAGAAATCCAACATTACTGTCTTAGTGTTTGAATGTTCTTTATATATAGTACAGTTTACTTTCATTGTATCATCAAAATTTCTGTATTTATTCTCTACATAGTTCAAATTAATTCTACTCTTTCCTTGAACTTAATTAATTTATTGCATTCTCTAGACACCCCATGATGGCAGATACATGCATGCAATGCCATCTAAATTATACTGCAATCACCTAGATAAGAATATGACCAAGTAGGTAACCAACTTTGACATTGGTCTTATGACCTCTCTTTCTCTCTCTGTTTTTTTTTTTTCAAAAAAAAAAAAAAAACATAAATAGATTTTAATGCAATCAGTTTTAAATCGTAAAAGACTAGTTATGGAGACTCAAAAAACCTATAAGTATCTTGGTATTTGTAATTTGAACTTTAAATTATCATTTTTCAGATAAATTTTATATAAATTCAAATCCTTGGAGACAAAAATCTTTTTTTTTCTACAAGAACAATAGAAATAAGTTTCTATTCGTTACATTATATTTCCCAAAGAGGATAAGATATATATATATATATATATATATATATATATAAAAGTAGGAAATATTAAGAAAAATTTATTTCCTAAGCATTAATTTGTGTTCAAAATTTTGAATACAACCCCAAATTTGTGGATTTGTTCCTGTGGTATTGATTGAGGTTGTGTTTGGTCCCTACGTGAAGATTTAGACGTGACATATTCAATTTGGCTTGTATGGAATACATAAATTATAACCAAAAGGATTATGTTTGTAAACACGCGATTTCACATCATACATGCAAATTATTGAAAAAAATCTTTCAATTTCTAGCTAAAACTCTGTGGCAAGTGGTATTCATGGTGTCAGAAAGACTCTTTCCAGACGGATTAATGTTGTTTGGAATGGAATTTTGAGAAAGTATTTAAATAAAGGAAATTATAAAAAAGAAAAGAGATCGAGAGATAGCTAAAGAAGAAAACAATGTCTTTTTACAAAGAACTCTATGTTCTTGTAGCTTTTCAATATTTTTATGGTGTTGTAGCTTTTCAATATTTTTACGGTTTCATGGTAAACATTATTTCCCATATAATGTAGTTTCGTATTTTAGGTTTTTTATTATCAATTTATATAATTTAAATTTTAAAATATTATTTTTTAGGTAAATTTTATCTTTTTTTTTTTTTTTTTTGTAATGGTTAATTCTTTGATCGTTAAGTGAAATGCTTTAACGATATTGTTTAAATTACATCCTATCAATATTTTTTTAAAAAAAGTTAATAAAAAAATAATTTTTAGAATTTAGAGGTTAACCCCTTTAATACTGAATTGCAATCCGGGAGAGAGAGAGAGAGAGAGTGAGAGATTGAATTACAATTTTTGTAATGGTCTCTTTCCATACTAGATTCCTTCCATGATGGAAGTGAAAACTTTATACTTTTTTGACAGATCCTGCTTCCCTAGGAGCTGCTTTAAGGGCTGCTCATGGTCGGACATGTAATGAAAATGGAAGTTTTGTGGCAATTGTAAGCTTGTACGAGGACAAGTTGGAGAATTCATCCCTCAGCTGCAAGCTTTCAGTCAGTGCTGGGAAAGTGAGAATCAAAAACTGGTTTCTGAGTATACTTTATGATGAAGAAGAGAAGGGAAATAGAGAATCGCCATGTCAAGAAGCTGGGACCCTACTGAAGTAGGGAAGCCGGTAAGCCACAATGAAGACATCAAGCATCACCTTCTGAAGATTGCAGTCGCAAATTATTGATTTTTTCTTTGGTTGGAATTTTTTTGTAAAATAACGTAATTTTCCTTTCTATATGGATTAAATATAATCAACAGGTCTTTCATTGTTCTTGTTGAAACTTGAAACACTTGGGGTCTTTTTGTAGTTGAGTTTAAATAGTGAATGTGTGGAGCTTCTTCTCCCATGTTATTTGGTAAGAAAACCAAATTTAACAGTACTCATCCCCATATTAAAAACCTTCAATCCTCATATATATATATATATATATATATATATATATATATATATATTTAATCCTTTAGGGTTTTCTAAGATCAAAGATTCAGATTAATTTCTTGTTAGCCTATCCAATATACAAGATGAGAACAATTATCAGAAGAATTTTTTATAAACACAAATATTCGAATCCAATAACACTTATTTTAGCAACTAAAACCTTTTCTTGAATTCAATCCTCATATTTTTTATTACAATACCAGGGGTAACAAGTATCCCCAACATAGGAACTATAGAAGCGGCAACCAGAGTGTAAGCAAATTCATAGCAACAAAATCAAACACACAAAAGGAAACACTCTCCCTATCAGCACGGAAGTAACACTTCCTATCAGTACTCCTCTTCTTCACCACCACCATCATCTCCTTCAGCAGACTCAGCACCAACCTCATCGTAATCCTTCTCTAGGGCAGCAAGATCCTCACGAGCCTCTGAGAACTCTCCTAATTCATCTATACCCTCACTCGTCTGTCTTAACCCTCTTAATTCTAAGAATAATTGATTTTTTTCTTTTAAAGAAAACATAGAATCTTACATGACGATGTTTAAGCATTTTACTTAACGATTAAAAGATTGACTATTACAAATAATTATAAATAAAAAAAATTTGTCTAAAAAAATAATTTAGGAATCAAATTATGTAATTTGATATCAAAGATATGAAATTGTCAAATTGCAATAGATTAGGATCAATTTTTGTCATAAAATCATATTTTTCCAAAGTGAAAAAAATTCAACTGAGTTAGAGTTCGGTGAAAAAAGACGAAAAAAAATAAAATTACTACATCGTCTGGAGACACAAAAGGAAGCTGGAGATCAGAGATGCATAACCCTCAAGATCTAATGTTTCCATGGACAATATCTATATGTTTCAAACTTAATATAAGCAGATTACATAGTTCAGGCATTGTGCCCACATCATATCATTGCCAAATCTTTTTCCTCCTGTTCACAACAGCACCACATGATACCAGAAAAACCCTAGTTCGAGCACTACTATAGTGTAGGTGCACCAACACCAACTTCACTCAATTACCTATCATTCAAGTTAAGGGTCCCACCTTAAATCTCTTTTCATGAATCACAATCCCAATCTCTCTTTGCAAATGTCCAAAACAACACCTTATGATCATGAATCATGATCTTGTTGTTCTTTGTTGGTGGGTGAAACTTGGGTTTTCGTTGAAAGAGACAATTATGATATGTTAAACTAAGGTTTTGTTGGTGGATTTTGTACCATCTTTGCTTTCAGTTCCCTTAATACGCATGTTATTGTTGCTACTATTATTTATTGTACTAAATTACCATAAATTAATAAACATTTTTGGACAGATCAATAAAGTAACACAATCACCTACTAATTAAGTCCTTTGCATGACAAGTGTTAAGTTCACAACTACTAAGAATTTTCATAATAAACAAGTGCACATCTAGCAAGAAGACACCATGAGAAGCAGATAAAATAGTAGTAATCGATTAGTAGCAGTACACAAGTGGAATATCAGAAGACTAGAGTTACTGAAGATAGCAAACTAATTAAGAGGGATCATATTCAGAGACATTAATAATCTTGTGGCTGGCCATTGTAGGAGTAGAGGCTAAGCTCCAAGGAAGTACGAGAAGTAGAGTCATTGCCGTAATCATCAGAGCCATACCAGCTACTGTAATAAAAGTCTGGGTTAATGTTGTTGATGTTGAAAGAGCTATTGATATCCTCACCGTGCATGGGAAATAGAGGAAGAGTCTCAATCTTTGCAGCTGCTTCTTGGTCTTGATCAAATGGAGTATAGGATGAATTGTAAGGGTTAATGCCCCATGATCCATAGTTAATGCTGCTCATGGATCCACCTCCAGGACCATTGCTACCACCAGCTGGTACTGAACAGTCCTAATGAAGCAAATAAAAAAAATAAAAAATAAAAAACAAAAGGAAAACTCGAATTTCGAGAATTTAAAAAGCTTTGAGAGAAAAAACGGTAATTTTTCAGACCTTTTGTATTTTCTGTCGCATATATATCCTGTATAGTAAAGGGATTGATTCAAAGAAAAAGAAGCTGTTTTGTTCAAATTATTTTGCAAGGAAAGCAGAAAATTTTCTGCCTTTCTACATATGTTATCAAGAAACTTTTTAAAGCTAGAAATTTCCATTTCACCTCTGCCTTAGTGATAGGTATGTTAAGGCAAGATCTGAGTGGATGTTGGTATACAGGTACATAAACATTCACACAACATATAGCTAGTATTCCACATGGGTGTAACTTTTATGTTGATTTCTTTCCATTTTAATACCTACCAGCAAAAGCATATTAGTTTACACCAACTTCAGCATCAACAAGAAAATCTTATCAAAGGCATAAATGACACTAACATTTTTTAGGTCATGATCATCCTTACCCAAAAATTCTTCTCCTGCATGGTTACAGATCCATATCCATGGTTATCTGTCTGCCCAACAGTACTAACCGCACCAGTATTTGAAGATGAAGAAGCAGGAGAAAACCCTGCAAAATTGTCAGCACAAGACACATGAAATAAACAAAAACTCAAGTATAGTCAGCCATGATAACACTGAAAAAAAAAAAGGGAAGCAAGTTAGAGTGAAATTAATACCAACCAGGATTGTTATTAATGTTGGAGTAATTGTAAGAGTAATAATCTTCAGGTTTCCAGGCAGTTCTTTGTTGCATGGGGACATCATTGGTGAACCTTTTCTTCTGCCTCTCACGAGCTTTATGGTTCTGAAACCAATAAAAGACATTCTTGCCTTCAATCTTGCCGTACTTTCTAAGCCTAGCAGAGATCTGCTGAATCTCAGCTCCATTTGGAGACCTAACACCTTTGATGTAGTACAGTTCCTTCAATATTCTTATCTGATCAGTAGTGGGAGTCCACCTTGTACTGGTTTGCCTGCAAAGGAAGTTTCCTTTGGCACCACCATTATTATCCTCATTTGGTTGTTGTTGGTTTTGGTGTTGTTGTTGTTGAGGTTCCATGATGGATTGAGAAATTAAACAAGGACAAAACAAAGGGAAGAGAACAAAATAGGTAGAAGAAAGAATACGAGTGAGAGCCGATATAAGAGGTGAGGTGGGGTAGGTGTGTGTTAGAGTGTGTTGTGCATGAAATAGCCAGTTAGAGGCTGGGGGGTTATATGGCCTTATGGGCTATAAAAAGGGACAGTCCAAGAGAGAACTAAGAGGCACATGGGATGGAGGGATTAAACAGAGGATATCAGAGAAATATCTGATAGAGAAGGACTGAAGTTGACAGCGAAGTGTTCACAAGAAGAGAAGGGACAAATGAGAGCTTAGAAAGGGAGGGTATCAGTGGAATTACTTGGATCAAAAGGCATGACGAGGTATGATATAATTAAAGCCAGCCAGCCAGCCAGCTTCCTTAAGAAAGAGAGAGAGAGTAAAATGCAGAAAATGAGACATGAAGTGATATATTGGAAATAAATAAATTAGAAAGAAAGAAAGAAAGAAAGAAAGGATGGAGTGAACGAGGCTTCTGAATGAATGAATGAATGTCATAAAATGATGTAGTAGTTGTGTATGTGATTTAGAGCTCATTGGGGAGGTTATTCTTTTAATGAAGATATGGTCCTCCTTTTTTACCAGGCCAAAAAGCCAGAACAGAATATATTTTTTGTACTCTGTCATGGGCAAAAATGTAAATGACTCGGTCCAAGCAAAGGTAAGTGTGTATATATATATATACATGCATGACCATACATGTAAAGAAAAGTGGAGTTTATGTCTTGGCCTACTAGGATCTATCTTTATGTCACGATCTTTCCATTAGTGCCTCTATATGTTTTTGCTTTTATCACCTGCACCTTAAGATCATATCCTCTGCAAGAATTCCAGGAATTTAAGCATCTTAACTGGTTTACCACAGCCTTGGGGACTAGCTAGCTAGGGGACCGCCGAGTTATCTACTAATGTTCAAGTAAAAGCAAACTCTGATTTAGCTAGTACAACCTGATCATAATACTTTTAACATTTGATAGTGAGTATCTACATATGCAATAAAAGAAACAGCTTGGCATGCAACTGCAAATACTGAACCTTTAGAGACTTCACTATCCTCATCAAGATGTTCCAGGGCAGAAGTAGGAACATAACCATGAGCTTTGTTTGTAAAATTTCTCTTTTAGTTGAAAACATAATAGAATTTATCAAAAGAACCTCCTTTCACCGTCTCCTCTTTTCTTCAAACCCCCTTCCTAAGTATTAATTCTTGGAAGATGTCTCATTCTACAAAATCTCTCAAGGGAAAATTGATGAATTTTGCTAAAGCACATCACCATTTTTATAGATCCTTTCAAATAATATTTGTGTGGATGATGACATTTTGCAGATGCGTGTGATCATTCTGGTATGAAACCATGAATACCAATTTGTTTAGTCTAAGTTTGAAACTCTTCAAGCAGCTGGTTTTTGTCATCCCATTAAGAACTAGCTAAGTCCCATCAATTTGAACCAGTTTCATTAACTACTAAACAATTTTTTAAATCATTGTCAACATCTTTACTCATGTTCAGCCTAGAAATTAATTGAAGGTGAACAAGGCCAAGCAATAACATCAAATATAGTAACGAGAGAAGTTACATTCACTAGTAAATAACAACAGCACGAATTGTTTCAAAAAAATTTCACTGTCACCGTATCTGCAGTCCTTTATGCTACGGATCAGCACGCCTCCCAAAAATTAATGTAGGAAGATCATTAAAGAAGGGGAGAGATGGATGGGGTTACATGGAAAAAGAACACCATCAGAAGGTCTATCATTCTTTCCTATGTTTTCTTTCCCAAAAAAAAAAAAAAAGAAAAGAAAAACTGAAATTCAGCATCAAGATCCATAGTGTATGATCGAGGCAATGTGTGTCATCTCTTTTACTCTTGTGAGAATGAGGCACATTTTCACTAGGGAAAGTTCAACCCCACGCATAGATTACAAAAGGCTGTATTGAAATGATTATTATTCTGACCACAGCAAGTACCATGCAGTCCTGTCGCCTGACCTTATTACACTTGCACATATTTTTTGTCTTTACTTTTCCCTATCAAATTCATATTGCATCCTCCTTGGGAAAAGAAAAGAAAAAAATTACTCCATCACAAAATTACTCGTAGTGTCACTGAGTGAATATGCATGTGTCTTTGTGTTTTGCTTGAAATACTATCTATGAATCAAGGAGATAGAGCACACTTTTTTTTCAAAGGATAATCGTCTTTTTGGTTACTGAAATTAAGTTCTCTCATGGAAATTTTTTTAGGTATATCATCCACGTTTTTACGATGAATTCACGAAAAAATTCATTGTATATTGTTTATCCTCAAACTTGAATCCATAATCATATAATTAGGAACAAACTCACTTAATTACCAACAACACCTATCATGCACCTTTTCCCTTTTTTACAAAAGTTTTGGACCAGGAGGTTCTATAAAGTATATATATATTTTTTAATCTTTCACATTGTGAAAGTGAAAAGAATTCAATATCGATTCTTGTAATTTTATTGAATGATCAACTAATCTAATTGATTCACACACTTGAAAGTTCATAAAACTCGACGTGTTTCTTATATTATTTCTACTTAGCATATGTAATGATGTTAGTTTTCAACTACTGGAGTACCGGTAGTTTTCTTCATTTGCACCTTAATAGTTTTGCTAATGCAAGTTTTCTTTTTGTCCATGGATCAATTTAGGGGCGTGGATTCCGGTCATGGGCACCTTTTGTCTTCAGTGCATGATTTACTAGGAAGCTATTAGAACGATCAAAATATATACTTTAAGAGATTCTAAATCTTTGTTTCTTCTAAACTTTCTCTGAAATTCTCATTGTCTCATGTGCTTCAAGGCCTGAAAAGTAGTGGAGAGAGGCAGTAAAAAAATTTCGTGGAAAACTATTGTTTCTTGTTCCTGGTTCTGGATTCTGAAATATAGATAAAGTCTCATTATTACATAGCCACTCAAGGAATATTTTATTCACTTGTGCAGTATATGAAGTTTTATGGGTATATAGTATAGTAATATTTAATCTCCTTAAATTCAAACTTGTAACAGTCTCATTCCCCTTTTCTTCTTTTTTTTTTTTTTACAATTCTGACTGTTGCAGACTCTCTCTCTCTCTTTTCCAAGTTCAACTTTTCAGAATGTGCTATTTGTTTGATCTTGACACTTCATGATGAGATTTTGCTCTCCTTATCATGCATTTGCATTGGGTTCTGCTATCTCTGAAATGGGATGTGGGCATTGGTGTTTGTTTCTTGGTGCCAAATAATAGCCAGTGTCATTCTCTCTTGATCAACTTTTTTAGGCTTTGATTTGCCAGGGAAAGCTAGCATATATCTCTCTCTTATCTAAAATCCTGAACTGCTTACCTCATAAGGAGTGCCTTAGTAATGTGAAGCCTCATCAGTGGTACACTTCCTTTTCTTTCGGGTAATCATCTCTTTGGCTCTTATTTTCTCCTCCCATATCTCTAAAGATAACATCACAATATCATTTCATATCTCTTAACCTCTCTTTCTAGCTGCTAGCAGTCTCTCATTTCTCTTTCTTTTGCTTTCTGTCTTGTTAATTTCTAAGAAAGAGACTGGCTACCACATAGAGCAAACCCTAGCCACAAGTTTTATTTTTTCTTTCTTCTTTTTTTCACATTTTTATAATTGGGTATTTGTATATCCATTGATTAAAAGATAAATACTAAAAGCAAAAGCTGTTTTCATTCAAACAAAAACCTTGGATGTGAATGTATAGTTCTGTAGCATATATAGGATGGCTTATAAATATGTAGGTGGACCACATTAGTGTGTCTGTATATATATATATATATATATATATATATGACACACACGATCAACTATTATTGCTATAAAATGACTGAAGTTTTAATTGCTCCAAAGTGATTGAATCTTTGTAGGACCACGAAGTAGTGGTCTTTTGGTTAGGAGTTTCAAACGGGGATATTTGAATAGATTATTTTGGAGTAACTTTCAAGTTTTTGGCCAACTAGCTAGCTAGTTTCAACAACTGGATGGATTACACAATTTTGAGCCAAATATAATGAACTCAAGAAGTTCCGCGGCAATAATCTTGGACCTAATGGCAAAAAAAAAAAAAGGGAAAAAAAAAGAAAATACAATTTGATACCCATAGTTTCAGCTATCAACCACTTCGACCTTATTGTCTCAAATTTTCCAATCGCATACCATTTGAAGTTGCTCTAGGTTCTCTATGTCACAGCTGCCACTTCAATAACTTCATTAATTTGGAACGAGTGTTTATAGGTTTTTGATATGCTCAGAAAAATGCAACTTGACACTTGTCTTTTATTAAGCTGAGATAAAGGGACCAACCCATTACAAGCACTCCTACATAAGATCTTGTACGAAGAGAACTCACACGAACAAGAATACCCATCTACCTCATGTGAAGCATAAAGAACAAACATTAAATAAAAGAAATTGCCCCACATGTCAAACTCTAAAAATAATGGTTGCCCCACACGTCAAACTCTAAAAATAATGATTCTTATGCCAATAAGATACATTCATTTGGGAGAATTTTAATTTGCAGACACACATGTTAGTTATACAATAAGGAAAGGACTTATCTGTCTTTAATGAAAAAATGAATATGTCCTCCACTCTATACATGTTGATCCTCCGTACATCCATCATAAAAGATTAACCCTACACACACAAAAGGATTAGCAAGAGGTTTTGCATTCTACACGTTTTATAAAGTACCGTATATCTTCTCAACATATAGAAAATAACTTACCGTTAAGCCTAATCGGACGATATACACTAGAAGATATACTATTAAGTCAAATCAAACCATACACCTCTCTTCGTATGCTAATTTAGCCATCGAAGATCTTTCAAGACTAAAGAAAAATACTTTATTTTGTAGATACTCACCATCAAACGCCAAGTACAAGATCTAATCTTCATTCCACAATCAACCTCGAAAGA